AAGTTGTACCATCCCAGGCTTACTATTACACAACCTATCTTTTTGCCTCATCAATATATTGCAGACATTCTTCCACATTAACATGCACAGAGCTTCTTTTTAATCACAACCTTCACATTCTATAATATGAATGTGCCATAATTCATCCAGTCATTCTTCTTTTATGAACACCTAGGTTTTCCCCAGTGTTTTGCTTTCATCCACAATGCTGTATGACATCTTCCTTCAATTCCCTCTGGCAGTGTTCATTTTCCAGACTCCCTTCAGGTAGACAGGGCCTGTGCTCAAGTCCATAAAGGAATGTGGGTCAAAGTGATGTTTGTCATTTCTGGACCTGGTCCATAGAAAGAAGTCTCCCACACCATCTTCCATACATTGTCTCTCTCCCCACCTTCCAACTTAACAGGAGCCATTCCAAGGATGTAGAGAAAGGTGGAGTCACAAGACAAATCTCTGAATGACTTTGTGAGCAGAGGCCACCTGCTGACTTGCATTGGTGATACGAGCACAGAACACAAATTTATTGTATTGAGCCACTGAGATTTTTGAGATTATTTTTTATTTCAATTAGACTGCTCTAAACACTATACATCCATAAACTTCTACAAGTAATTTTGTAGGGTGGAGTCTAAGGATTGGAATCACTGGGCCTAAATGGCCTAAAAATTTTAAATTTGACACTTCTAATCAATTTGTTCTTCAAAAAGTATAGTTCACCTTATGCTCCCTCCAACAGTACATGCAAGTGGTTGAAGAGAATGAAAATATCTTTTACATTTATTTTATAAACAGGTTTGTAAACACTTGTTTATAAAATAGGGGTTTTAAAAATTAAAAATAGTGATTAAAGTGAAATCTGAAAAAATAAAGCTGTTGAATTGCAATGGCATTAAAAGTTTAAATTGTAATTATAAAAATATAAAAATTGCTACTGTCTAGAAGACTGTTGATTTCCAGTGTTGGTCGGGGTGAGAGGGTATCTTTGTTTTGTTAAAATCTCTCTACATGATTCTGATGCCAGGTCTGGAAATCACTAGCTTGATGTACTGGGGATTCCAAGTGGTTAAATGCTGTAGGTTTAATGGTGTTCCTCAGAAAATGTCCTGGAGTCCATAAATACCAATGGAAGAATCTTTTCTCCATGGAAAATGTCATGGAGTCCATCTATACCAATAGACTCTACCTGAAAGTTGTACTTCTACTCTTCTGGCCTCTAGCAGGCTTTGGAACTCATCCAATCATCTGATACAAACAGGACAGGAAAGCAGTAGCAGAGAGCCCTCAGAGGCACTAAGAATTACAGGGTTGAGTAAATATACTGAGAAGTAACTCCAAGGTAACAGCTCACTGGCAGCCGACATTTTGCAGAAATTTCCTGGTAAAAAGCAGAGTTTCCTTAGAAATCAATTGGTGAGGACTTTGTCTGAATTTGCTCAAATTCAGATTAAAAAATAAAAAACCAAAAAATAGGAATTGAGTATTCTCTCCAACTAACATTGGCCACTATAATTCAACCAAGTAATCATTTCTGCAGAGTTAAAAATGAATCATCAGAAACTATTTAATTCTCTTTAAGGAAACTATTCTCTTTAAGGAAAAGAGACCAGAGCAGATACCATTCCTTATCCAACATCTGCCAAAAGAATTTATTTAATCCTGGTGAGAAAACACTAGAAGTTAAAATTGGAATCCTAACAGACATTTTTTGTTACAATTGACTATATTACAAACTGTATATGGGTCTTATTTCTTAGCGTGGGCTGAATTCTCAAATAATCCTACAGTATCTTTAATAAAATTTCAAGTTAAATCTTGTACACATGATCGTAGAGAGCAGAGTCACAGGTAATCCTAACTGACAACTACAGGTGTGATTTTAGTGCCCAGAGTTGGCATTCTAGATCAACTTATATAGCTTCCAGAAGGCTGTCTTTATAAGACATGCTCCTGTCTGAGGGCATTATATTTTCCATACGCTGTTAGCTTTGGGGAAGTCTGATGGCAGTGTTAACTGCAATGGTAGGTACATCGAAATTCAATGATGTGAAATTAATTTATCACTGGTGGGTTCTGGGATGTCCAGAAAGAGTTGTATTGTAGAGGAAAAATTCAGGGCAATCTGATCGTTTAAGAACAATCCAAAAGGCTGATTTGACATTAAGCTATCTACCTAGGGTTCCTTAGTCTTCTGGGCTAACAACAATATTAATTCAGAGGCTGTGGAAGAGGGTCATTGGACAGCCCCAGTCATAAATGTTAGAGGACTACAGAGACAGGAGTCTTGCTGGGATATGCATAGTGTCTTCTTATTCATTTCTTTTTGTATTGATTCATTCATTTATTCAACAAATAGTTACATGGAATACCTCCTATGTGCTGGTTATTGTGCTATGGAGGATACAGTGCTGAACAAGGCAAACTTGGTCTTTGCTTTCATGAAACTTACTGTTTGATAGGTTTGTCAAGGAATGATGATCAAATTATTTAATGGCTGGAATGGAATCTGGGCAGTGACTGTCAGAACAAACAGCAGACATTATGCCATACTTATGTGTACAACTAAGTATCAGCTATGAGCTCTGCTATATTTATCAATCTGTTTTATTATAAATAAAAGTTTATTTTTCTATAAATATTGGTGTGGTATTTTCTGGAAGACTGGGAGAAAAACAGTGTTTTAATCTTTAATCCTAAAGTATTAATAGCTGGGTATAACTGTATAGACACTGTAGAAGATAAACATGCATTCTGCTTCCTATTTTATTATAAAACTGTGATTCCTGCAGGTCATCTACCTTATTCCACACTGCTGTGTGCTTCGTGAAGCCAGTCATGGCAATTCCGTGTCCATTGCTACTGATTGGTTTATGAATGGCTATGTGATTCAGTCGTGGCTGCTGAGACTTGAAAAGACACAGTTTAGGAGGCTTCTGAGATAGGTTTCCTTGCTTTAAAAGGAAACATGAGGAGCACAGCTGTAATTATTTATATATGGCAGTCATCTTGCAGCCATGAGGAAGTCAGCCTGAAGAAAAAGTCTACATGTGGAGGATGGCAGAGCATAAAACTGGGAAGTACCTGCATTCTTAATCAGTTGCAGAGTCATTGACTACAGTGGCCCTGGAGCTGCCTGTCTGGGGGCTTCTTATTATGTGAGATAATACGTTTCTATTGTTTCATGCAGTCCAGCCAAACTTTCTGATACTTGTAATTACTTTCTCCAGAAGAGTCACCTGACGGCAGTAAATGCATGGTTCTAGGAAGGAAATAAAGGTTTAAAACCTATTACAGAATTGTAAGCAGTAGTTTACTAGGGACAATTTTTAAGGAGTTTCCTTAACTTTGGGGCATTCTGAAGACAACTATGTGTGTGTATTATGGTATATTCATGATTTTAAGGCTAATGGAGAGATCTTTGCACTTTTGCTTTATCAATGCATGTAAATGCATGTAAATGAATTACAAACATGTAAATGCATGTTGTTTGTTTGTTTGTTTGTTTAGAGACAGGGCCTCACTCTGTTGCCCAGGCTGGAATGTAGTGGAACAAATCAGCCCCACAAAGTGCAGGCATTATAGGCGAGAGCCACTGTGCCTGGCCAGTAAAATAAATGAGTGTTTTACAGCCACTATGGTTATAACTTCTTAGGAAAGGACACCAGATGAAGGAATGAAGATTGCTAACACTTTATGAGTGCTTACTAGGCCTTGGGCACATGCTAAGTGCTTTACGGACCTTATTTTAATTGTTCATCATAACAACCCCATGAAATAAGTAACTAGTATCTTTTTCCTCATTTTACCAAAAAAGATATTATGGTTGACAGTTTAAATAACTTGCCCAAAGTCACAAGTAAGTAATAAAAACAGACCTGGGTCCACATCTGTGTGACCCCAAACTCCACACACTTAAGCCTTGTGCTGGGCATACAGCCACTTCCCAAGTCTTCTTCGGTGGTTTTCCCTCGCTGACCCAGCGACAATGTCTGGAGGTTCCCTGTTAGTTATGCAAATAGCAAAGCTGGTTACACAATAAAGGAGAGAAGGCCAATTCTGGCACTAATTTTAGGGCAAACCACAGATGTCTTTGATGTTTTCATTGTACATGAGAACAGAGCCAGCCATCCGACAGCTGCTGGCAGCCCTGATCAAATATGCAGAATATTAAGGCAGCTTTATCTCAGCGCCTAATTACAGCTGGCACAGGGAAATTTATTTTGCAAAGGAGGAGATGTCAAATCGTATGAATGCAATATATAACCAAATATGATTGCCTCATTCTGTTTTCTCAAGGCTGTCCAATTACAGAGTACTTTTTTGAAAAGTGTTATTAATTGATAGTCCTCTCAACCTAGGTAACCAAAACTTTGTTTTACGTATTATTGGAACAGCTCAACTGCTTTATTGCCTTATACTTCAATTTATTGTCTTTTTCTTCAGATGTAAAATACATGCAGCACTGAATTCCAAAAGCAAATGTAATTACAACATTCTTGTCTATTCTAGTTTTTTACACCCATATAACCAATGTGATAGGACCATAATTTAATGTCTTTTTAGCATTGAAATTTGTTTCATATTTGTGATTGCAGAGAAGTGGCTTTATAATGCTAGTATAGGAGCAAAGAACTAACAGCTGGCTACTTTAACAACCAGTAATCATAGCTGGATTGGGCTCTGCCATTTCAACCTCATGCAGTTTATAGTGTTTGGGGTTGTAGCTGCAAGCTGCATGAGGTTGAATAAGATTCACTGCCCAGATCACCTTCAGGGAAGGACTTGCTGCCCAGCCAGCGGAGGGCACTCCAGCTGATGCTCCTTCAGGACCTGCCTCAGCTATAAAGATCCACCTCCTAGTGTCACACCCTTATAGGGGCAGTCCACATCCAGTGACTGAGCAAAGCAGCGGTACAGAGGCCCAGACATTTCAGCCTGGCATGGCACATTCTGAGGGACCATTCTTGTTCTAGAACTCTCCCTCTGTTTGCTCTACCTCTTAGTGTTGGTCTCTCATAAACATCTTAGAGCCCGGATTCTGTCTCGGCATTTCATGGCACCTGCTTCTAGAAAACCCAACCTGTGACACCATATTTAGTGAATTACTTATAAAGTCGTTCTACTTTTCCTGGGGAATGATCTTTCAGCCATCACTTGACAGTAGAATACATGCTGAATTAAGGTCCAGTGATGACTGCCAGTACTAACCTGCCATATTAAAAACTATCAATTAATTATATACCAGAAACTTAATTTTTTTCTCTGAAATGCATTGCTAAAACCATAGTTGTTGTTGTTTTTTTTAATCATGCTATGTTGACCAGCCTGGCCTCCATCTCCTGGCTCAAGTGATCCTCCTGCCTCAGCCTCCCACAGTGCTGGAATTACAGGTATGAGCCACCATGCCCGGCCCTTATCCTCTCTTCAACTCGCTTGTACTCATTCTTAAAAACTCAGCTAATGAGACCAACTTTGAAAAGGTCTTCCTAGAGCCCCCTCTTCCCTGGAACCTAAGGATATATCTGTTAAGGCATTCATCATACTGTGAAGGGACTTGTTCTCTCAAACTGATCTGCAGAGCTCCTTGAGAGGACCTCGAGATGTTCTATTGGAGTTTGCACCAAGATACACAGTCTAGTGCCTATCAGATACAGGCTTCATAGTGTGTTTGTGAATGTAGTCATATAACAATGTAATTACTTTTCAATGAACCACTGTAATAGTAGATTACCAAAATGCACATGCACATATTGATGTTTTGCTATGTATTAATAGAACCTTTGCAAACATCTTTTGGAAAAGGTTTTTATCAGTACTGTATATCACACACACCCACATACATTAATAACATCTACATTGGCTTTTACTTTAAAAAGTTACATATATAACAAAATTATTTATATATGAATCATATATGAAAATACTTTCACATAATTTTATAACATATATTTTTATTATGTATGTAAAAGAAAAGCCAGTGTAGATACTGCTATGAGGACTTCTGAGTTGGTGTAGTGCTTTTCATGGAGTAGCTGACACACAGTTTCTGCCTCTTCAAACTGATCGTCAACATATGGGTAAATAACAATCTGCTGACTTTGAAAAATTAGTTATAATCCATTTTATATAATGCATGCAAAGCACAGCAGGCAATGGCCCGTAATTGAAGGATTAGTTTTGGGCCTCAGGGTGGTTTTTAAAATTCACAGGCTGATAGAATGTTACACCCCATATGGACCCAGAATATTCTCATCAGGGAGTTTCCAGCACTCTCTTTCCTCCTACAGAATGCCACGTGTTCCGTGCACAGGAGAGAACTTCCTCCATCCATCAGTACAGCAGCTGGAGATCTTCCCTGGTGATAAGGTAGGCAGGAGGCTGAAAGGCGCCTTACACGAATTTCAATCTGGCCTGAATAGATTTGTTAAACCACTTAGGTCATTTCTAATTTTTCTGCTATCCAAGGCACACTGCAGCTTTATCTTGTCTCATGCCTGAACCTTGCATCCTGCTGAAATTGCTCTAAGCGCACTGCTCCTTTCAGGTTTTGGTGGCTTGTCAGTGTGGAATGAGAATCTGCTCTGTGACTGTTATCTTCTACATTTCTTCCCTGTGTTTTTCTCTCTTTACTCCCACCTGTCTGCCTTGATTATGAGATATGCCAAGAGATATGCCATCTCTTGCATACGATGCGAATGTCTGCACCTGCTTTTTGTCTCTAGTTACTGCTGTTCTCTCCTCTTTGTCTTGTTCTTGTGGGACCCTTTGTGAATCTCTCTAGAGGGACCTTTACAACCCCAACTCCCACTGGTCTCATCCTAACCAGCCCAGGCTGGCTGGGAAGTGGGAGAGAAGGAACTCTGGCTGCCCTAATCTACACCGTGCTCTCTGCTCCTGGGCAGGGGTGCGGGTGTTTTTTATAAACTATTCCCATGAGTATGAAATGCTTGAACAAAGCAAGTGATTTGGCAAGCCTGAAGTCACACAATGGGGCTCATAGCAACTGGCTTCTACTAGCAACACGAGGATTAGAAACACTTCCTGGGCAAGCAGCTTTGAATCAGCTAGATGTGGGGGAGCAATGAGTCTGGGTTCACTTTGCTGGGGGTGATACAGCTTTAGAGTATTTGTTAATAGTGAAACCCTTTGTTTAAGAGGCAAAGTAAACATACATACATATACATACATAAGGTTTCTAGGTTACTTATTGGGCTGTATGCTGTTATTAGTACGAATGTTTGAGTTTGCAAGTAAAAGCTTATAAATCACCTCTCAGATATATTTGCAAAATGAAGTTAAAACATGATTTAAAGAACCAAAAATAGCAGATATCTGCAATGATTTACAGCTGAATCAGGAACACATTTGATTTTTTAAACATGAATAACTGGCTAAAATTTAAATTAATTTGCTTTCCCTAGAAACCAAGAGCTAAACAGTGGAAAGAAATGGCGTGAGTTACCCTGGGTATTTGTGAGGGGTGGAGGAGGGGACCAGAATGGGAGTGACATTTCTTGAAGAAACTACACAAAATGGGCCACGCTCACGTGGACTGTGTGACTTCATTTAGTTAGAGAAGGAGAAGTAAGCAACCTGCTGATCTCAAATGTCTTTCCCAGGAGAAATGATCTCTTTTCTTGGAATGGCTGTAGCACTGAAAGTCTATTCCACCCTTTGGCACTTATCTTAATCTATCCTGTAATATTATCTCTTTTAGAAATGTTTTTATCTCTGCATTATAACAATTATCTTTTTATGTGTCTGACTTACCTAAGATGTCTGTTCATTCCAGGTGGCCTGGGACAGTTCTAACTTAAACTTATTGCTATGGTTTAATTATTAATAGTGCCCCCTTGCACTTTCAAAAATGTCCTGGTTTGGATGATCAATTATAAGGTTACTTCAGCCTTACCCAACTAAACTGAAAGCTCCTATATTTGTGAAGATCCTAGCAAGAGACAAAACACTCTGCTGGGATTTTGAAGAGACTTTAATGAAGGGACTATTTACAGAAGTGTGGGCAGAGTTAAGGCCACTAAAAAAGGCTGTTGAGGGGCCAGGCCTGAAAGGGCAAAGGGAGGAAATGTTATGGAAGCCCAGATGAGAGGCGGTGCCTTAGAAGAGGGACCACCCGAGAAAAGCCATGGTTTTGGAAGGACTCAAACACTGCAGAACTGGCTTAGCAAGGGAGGAAATTTCCTACCACTCTGTCTTTCCACCTACTGCTCACCTATCTGTGCCTTCTATTGGCTGAACCCCAGGGCAAGCCAGAAGGCAGAGGAGCCCTGGCGATAAAGCTGGAAGGTGTTAGTTTCCTTGGGCAAAAGATCAGGGAAAGGCAGAGAATGAATGGAGGGGGCCAGGGCACCGTGGGTCCTAGGGGAGGGGAGTCTTCACGTCAATTAAAAAATATACCTCTCAGCCACAGAAAGCAGTGGTGAAATAACACCTCTTGTATTATCCTGGGTGGAGCTGGAGCCCATTCTCCTAAGTGAAGTATCACAGGAATGGAAAAACAAGCACCACGTGTACTCGCCATTAAATTGGTATTAACTGATCAACACTCATGTGCACATATAGTAGTAACATTCATCAGGTATTAGGCAGGTGGGGGTGGGTGGGTAAATTCACACCTAATGGATATGGTGCATGATGTCAGGGGGATGGGCACACTTGTAGCTCTGACTTGGGCAGTGCTAAGGCAATACATATAACCTAATGTTTGTATTCTGAAATTAAGTGTTATGTGTGAGGATGTACATGCAAAACACTGCAGGAAAGGCTCTGATTGGCAAGACCTGGTAGCTATTTAAGTAATATGGTCTTTATAGTGGGGAACAAGAAATAAACATAAGAAAGTTAAACTACAATACTGAAGGTAAATCACAGTTAGGTACAATAATATAGAAGAGTTGCTTAGCAGTATGTGGTGATTGTCAGATTAATGGTATAGACACTAGATTTTAAAGGAATTCAAAGGATGAGAGATCACAATGGGCTGGAGGAATTTGAACAAGGATTTATGCAAGAGGAGGGGTTTTCGGTGGGGCTTACATGGGCAAGAAGGAGAGGTAGGCCTTCCTTGGAGGAATGGCATCAACAAGAGCAGAGGTGTCAGCCTGAAACACATCTTCTCCCAGGAAAAGTTCTGGGGTCCCTTCTGAGATTTTATTTTATTTTATTTTATTTTATTTATTTATTTATTTTGAGACAGAGTCTCACTTTGTTGCCCAGGCTAGAGTTGAGTGCCGTGGCGTCAGCCTAGCTCACAGCAACCTCAAACTCCTGGACTCAAGCAATCCTGCTGCCTCAGCCTCTTGAGTAGCTGGGACTACAGGCATGCGCCACCATGCCCGGCTCACTTTTTCTATATATATATTAGTTGCCTAATTAATTTCTTTCTATTTATAGTAGAGACGGGGGTCTCGCTCTTGCTCAGGCTGGTTTCGAACTCCTGACCTCGAGCAATCCGCCCGCCTCGGCCTCCCAGAGTGCTAGCCCTTCTGAGAGTTTAAATAATTTCAAAAACATCCCAGGCAAGTAATTATGGAAGGGTCTAAAGGGAGTTAAGTGGATTGTAAGAGGCATAAGTTGTGAGTGGCCATTGATTCATTCCTTCAGTATACATTTATTGAGCACTTGGTATGGATCAGGCGCTGTTCTGAGAGCTGCTGATGCCAAGTAATATAAGACATTGTTCTTTCCGTTGAGGAATGGGAATAGAAAAGATAGCCAAGGAAGCAAGTAAGTATTTTGTCCTGTGACTGTAGAGGTATGCAAGACCTTATACAAGCATACAGGAGATCATCTGAATGAGACTGAGAGGGTGGGGTGATTAGGGAAGACTTCCTGGAGGAGGTGGCACAATCTGAGTTCTGCAGTGTGAGCAGGGGGTTTACAATGGTGTTTTCTTTACTTATGTCCATCCTGATGCATTCTAAAAAGGGAAAGCGGTTGGTTTAAGAAGCACGTAGAGCAGAATAAAAAGAACATTAGGTAAAACATGGAGTGAGCTTATTTGCCCTTATCATACGTTGTTGCATTTGATCTCAAAACAGCTTTCTAAGGTTTATTTTCATTTCCTAGATGAGGAAGCCGAGACTCAGTGGTAAGGTACCTTGCCCGGAGCACGTAGTCTTGAGAGGTAGTGGCAGCAAAACAGAACCAGGCTGGTTTGATCCAGGGTTTGTGAGTGTTCAGCTGTTTGCCCTGGTACAAGAGGTGTGCTTCTGGTTTCCCTCCCCTGCGTGGCCTGAAGGTGCTTCACAGTATGGTAAAGGATAGGCGTGCGTTTTGAAGGACTGAAGAGTGAGTCAGGGAAGGGAACTGAGGATGGCATTCCAGGCAGAAGAGTCAGTGTGTTCAAAGCAAGAGGGCTGTGAGGGAGCTCGGCGTGTTGGAAGGATAGTAATTAGCTCATTATGACTGGGGATGTTGAGGACTGGTGAGAGACGGGGCTGAAGCCAAATCTGAAGGGCTGTGTATATCCCTTCACCCGAAGGGGTGAAAGCTATAGCAAGAGTTTCAGCAGCGAGTGCCATGACGAGCGGAGAATATTAGAAGCATCATTGAGGCAGCAATGTGAGCAGGTCTGGCTTAGCACAAGCCTGGAGGCAGGAAGGCCAGTTAGGGGGCTACAAGGTAGTAGAACTTGGAAGGAGGGCACTAGAATCTGGGAACTGTTTTGGAGAAACATAGATAGAGGTGGGCACCTGGACGGGGCAGGGAGATAAAGATGATGAATTCTCACGTGCAGCCAGCTAAGTGATCATTGATGAAGCAGGGATGCTGGGGAAGAACCAGCTTGGGGTTTGGGGGATGGAGAGTTCAGATGATGATGGCCATGGGTAACTAAGGAAGAAAATGAGCTTAGCTTTTTAACCCGCCTGTTCTGTTTAGTTGCTAAATTTATTGTGGCTTTAGAAAAAATATGGCAGCCCCAGAGAAAATATTGGTTGTCAATAAAAGTTAAATGTATTTATTTTAATAAGGTGTATTGTTTTTATTGCAAAAGTGATATACATGCAGACAATTTAGAAATTACAGACAAGCCAAAAAAAATTGTTGTTACCCAAACACAATCTTGCAGTGACTTATATTATTTTGGTGCATATATTTTCAGATTTTTTTCTAAGCACATATATGTATATCTATATTTTTCCTAAGAACTTGAATAATGCTCTAATAATTAAATGTATCATGCATATCTTTCACTAACATTAATAATTCTATGAGAGCATTTTGGAGACTGCATGGTATTCTACTTATGAATGCATTGTATGGGACTAAACTATGTTCCTATTGTGGACATTTAGATTCTAATTTTTACTATTATAAACAACACTGCAATAAAGTAATTAAAATGT